GTTATTTTTATTAATGATGGAATGAGGTTATGATCAAACTTTAAACAAAAACGATGTTTTAAATCCTAATGAGTTTTGAAAGCAATCTTTTTTTCTCTTTTTTTTATTTATTCCAATAAATTCCGTGATACAGAATGCTGTTATACTTAAATTGACCTCGAAATATTGCTACTACAGACAACAGGTTAGAAGATTTAATAAGAAAAAAGAAGGGATACCCTAATCCGTTTTACATGACCATTTTCTTTTTTAACTTTCCGTTAAATAATTATTTTTTTAAATTACTAACGAGGTGATATCGGAAAAGGCTCGGATTGATATATATGATTGTATCGTTCTTCAATAGAAATGCTCGCGCAGTTAACGTTCATCGGTACCCAGGCTACTGAGTCAGTCTGCCAGTATGCGTCGTGCTATATATTTATGTTCTATTATTATGCAAAGTGGATCTTTTCTATCAATTCGTCCAAAATAATGTAAAGTTACTTATCGTAAATATTAATTCACACCAAGAAATTATAAATTTTAAATCGAATAAAATTATAAATTTTAAATCTTTTCAATCTGCGTGCCAGATTGAAAAGCCTCCATATTATTGGAGACAATCCGAAACTGTATTTTACCTGGGATTACGATTATGAGGCATTATTGGAAAGGATATACACCTTTGAAGGATGATCCCAATTATATTCATCTGACTGTAAGTCACAGTATGAATTTGGTTGACCCAGAAAGATCAGTTCACAGGCAAACAATCGAAAGTAACTGGAGGGCGCCAAAATGAAGAATAATTCCATGTTCGGAACTCATCACAGCATGATTTCTATGAGTTCTTTTGGAGACGTAAGGCAAAAAATAACAATGAATGCATTTTTGAACAAATTTTAAAGGACATTTCGATGTTATTATAGTCTGAGGTCTACCTCAATATAGCGTGAGGTCTACCTTCCGTTTCACGTGTATAGAAAGTGAGACAAATATAAATATCTATGTTAGACCTCACCTGACCTGATGGACACGCGTTGCACAACATATTGAGGTAGACCTCACGCTATAGTAGCACCGACATTTCTGAATTTTGTTGTGAACTTTAATAAATATAAATTCTTTTATATTTGGGGGCGAATTAATATTTTGGGGTGAATTTACAGAAAAAACCCTACGATTTTATGTAACGTTGCGATGGAATGGCTCAGAGCTTTACGATAGCTGACAAATTTGTGTAATATACCAGGATCAGATTTTGCATGACGTTCAGCAGATTTGCTACCAAAGACTTCAAAGTGTCTTTTCAATCTTTTGGTGAACATTCTTTAGGTAGAACACACGTTTTTTGAGTGACACGCGCGTTTCAAGACCGGTCGAATATCTGTTCAAGATGATGAACGTTCAGTTTGGCCAATTAACAGTAAAACGCTAGAAAATGTGGGTGTGGGTGGGTGTAGGTGGATGTGTGTGTGGTGTGGGGGTGAACGCATCTATGAGGTTCGTAGCTAAACAATCGTCTCGCCTGACTGGAATCAGTTAGGGCGTCTGCAGGGAGTTCCAAGTCCGGGAACATTCCGATAACAACTTGTCAAGTTTGTATTTCCCTCCTATATATAGGGTTGAATATGGCGCATGTTTTTTTATGTTGGGTCCTACATATTTTGGATGTGTGATATGTTCAGAAATTGCTCAGTTCCATTACCAACAGCCAGTTCCATTACCAACGCAGGCACCAGGATGTACCCCTAATCCTTGGGAAGATTTTGTTCATGAAACCGGCTTTCAGAAACCAAGCTTGTATACTTTATCGATGTCTAATCACAGTTGACCAAAAACCTAAACTAAAAAGTGTACTACTTAAAACCAGTAACAACCTCAAATCAAATTTTCACTGTCAGTGTTCTGTATTTCTTTTAAAAAAAATGTTCGCGCACATTTTGCAGAAAGATTACAGTAGATATTTATAGTTCTTGACCAATGACCTCATAGGCTACCATGCGTAAATCCATACACGCAAGACACTAGTGGTCCGCCGGTATCAACGACAGCGGTCTTCTGATGGCAGCCACCGTTTGGGCCACTAGCGGTCCGCCAGTGGTAACATTATCGAGAAGATCCCGCTGGCGGTCCGACATCGGGCCACTAGCGGTAACCGCTAGTGGCATGCCAACCAATGGAAAATGGGTGGCTTGCGTGTAGGGAAACGTTATTTTAATTATGTTTTAAGCAAAAAGTAAGTATTCCGCTTATAAAATCCAGTTAATTAATCCTTAAATTTACTGACTTTGAAACACATATCTAGGATAAATATTAGATTTTAAAGAGATTTTTAAATTTGGTGCTTGCATTTTTCGTCTATAATGTCGGTTCGATGAGGAACGAGTGAACGTGCCAATGGTTTTAAAATGTCTAAAAACTTTATTTACATAACGAAATTAACTTTTATTTTAGTACGTATTGGCTTTTTAGGCTATTTCAAATAAAACTGAATTTTAGGTTCAAATGAGATATATTTTTAAATTATTTAATTTTTTTTTTCCGAAGTCCGTCGCGGTACCCAATAAGACTCCGGAAAGAAAGGGGATTGTTGATTTTAACGTTCTAAAATATTTTTGCATATCAAATAATGAATTAACTCCCTCGCATTTTGAACTTTCCTTTGTATGAGAAATAAAATGAAAAAGAGAAATTGCTTAGTAGAAAAAAAAATGAACATCATGGAAAATACGTAAAACTTGCTCTTTCTTTTTAAATGAAGGGAACTGACAACCTTACTTTAATCTACTTTTCTGTAGTATTTTTTAAATTTTTATTTCTTTTTTATTTATTTATTGCATTTTAAACAGAACTTTTCCATATATGACAATCAGCAGATATCTGATTCTTAAAAATAGCGGGCCGGCTCATTGATTAACTTACTTCACTGGCACGACGGAAACGAAAACTTACTTTTTCCCCTATATATAAATTTTTTTTTTTCCGTATTTTTTTTTTTTTTTTTTTACACATTTCGTTTTTTTTTATTAGTTCTCAGATAAAATTGTCACTAATCAGAAAATTCTATCGTTTTTATTTTATTACTGTTACTGAATTAGCATTTTCTTTTTTATATTCGATTAAGTTCTGCACTTATTTACCCGCGATTTTCATTTTCTCTGTTTTTGAGTGTAGTCATTAATTAATAATTAAAAAATATGTTTGTTTGTTTATTTATTTTGAAGAGAGCAGAGTTTTTTTTGCTATACGTTCTTTGTTTTTTCTCACATAGTTACACACAAATGATGTCAAAGACACGTGCTCGTATCCTTCTCTTAAGGTCACGAAATACTCAATACATTAATTTACATTTTATAACTTTAGTTTAATCAACAGTAAAAAAAAAAAAAAATTAAAAAAAACGATAAATAAAACTTAACGGAATGGTTTTTTAGTTGATAACAATTTCTTTCGTCAAGAATATAACCTTTTTTAAAAAACGCGTTTCAGAATAAAAGAGAGAAGTTATTTCATTCGTTCTCTCTTCCTGCCACTTTCTTCTCTCTCTCTCTATTTAATACAAACGAGGGATTTTCTTTTCTTTTGTTCGTTTCTTCCTTCCAACCACCTGGCTGTCTTCTTTCACGGTTGATTGCTTCTTTCTTTCTTTTTTTTTTTATTGGTGCTGGATTTAATTTTCATTAAAAATAACTTAAAAAAAAAACCCGTTTCACTACCAAAAACTACGAAGAGAAAAAAATAATCAATGTTTTGTAAAATTTTATTTACCCACAACTGTAACTTGTTAAAACAAAATAATAGTAATTTGTAAAAAAAACAATAAAATAAAAAAATGCTTGATACTGTATGTAGGTACGCAATTATGTGTTGTTTAAGTTTTTACTACACACGTTATACAACGCATTTTTAAATCCCAGACTTTTTTATCCTTCCTTACCGAATATAAATCTTTGCTTTGTCTTTACTTTAATTCACTATTGTTGTTGTTTTTTATTCTATTTAATTTTTTTCTCTCGTATAAAAACGAAGTACGAATTCTTTGACCGAATATCTTTTTTATTTATTTCTTCATTAACTCTCTAGCTAGAAACTTAACCTTTTTCCAATCCCAAGGTTTTTCTTTAATCCACATTATTAGCTAAAAAAATGATTCACAAATAGATTTTTTGAATGTTGGTGTTTGTAAATAAATATGACTCATTTGCGTTGAACGTTTTATAGTCATTCATTTTAATGTGTTAAAAAAAAAAAAAAAAAGAAAAAAAAAGCATTTTATTTTTATTTTAAGAAAATAAAATAATTTTTGTATCCATTCACTTGGTTATCGCTAACACATAAAAAAAACGATCAATGGAAAAAATAAGTCTTGATGGTTTTTTAAAAATAAAAAAGCATTACGAACATTCGACTCAGCTCTGAAGATAAATGTACCTAAACACTGAAAGTGAAAGATAAAATAAAATAAAAATAATATGGAATAGATACTGAATTAAAAAAAAAAATATATTCATCAACAATAAGGAAGCAAGGCTTACGTAAGAAGTCGATAGGAATTCCTTAGTTTGTGTGTGTGAGAGAAAGAAGGAGATAATAGGAGGAGATAGAGGGGGGAATGCAAAATTGGAGAGGAATGGTCAGAAAGAAAAAGCTATAATAAGAGAGGGATAAAAGAAGGAGAGGCGAAATTAGAGAAAGAGTGGGGCAGGCAGAAAGAGACTGAGAGTGTGGTCTCTCTTAAATTGCTGCGACTGTATTGCGTCCTGGGCTTCGGTGTGCTGGCTCCGATAACGGCAGCACGGTTCTTTTCAGTTAATGATTTTTATTCCAACTGCATTCATTCATTCTGCTTAGAGTCGAAAATAAGACGATCAGAAAAAAAAAAAGTGACTAGCTTTTCCTTATCCGAGAGCTTAACTCCTGTGTGCAGTGCCTATATATATTTATTTAAAAGAGACAAGCTTACTCTCGTTTTTATTTGAAGTGCGCGACAAAAGATATACCCACTTTCAGCAACCATGACAACTGCAACGAAACAAAGAAAAGAAGCCAATAATACCCGTAAAGATACCCTCCTACCCGATGGTTCTTCCAAACCTGTTGGTGAAAGATCAGCTGGGGCTGGAACGACCCTCTCGAATTTTGTACCTCCTGACGGAGGATGGGGTTGGATTGTATGTATCGCATCACTTTGGGTTAATGGGATAGTATTTGGAATCCTAAATTCGTATGGGATCCTCTATGTGTCAATGTTAAAAAAATACGGAGCTGGAGATCCTAATATTTCTTTCAAAACTTGTAAGTAACATTTTTTGTTTACCTATCATTTCGATGACAATCTTTTTTTCATTTTTAAAGTAAAAGATAATCCCACAAAATTTTTCTCTTTAAACCTGAAAATAATCCCTTTCTCTCTTGACTTACAAAATTTATCTAAATGTTAAATAAATTTCATATTTTATTTAACGTGGTATTTAAAATTACATTTTATTCTTTTTAACTTGGATTTCTAAGGAGGGTATATTTCGGTTACATAGCAGGTGTATGGGAATACCCATCTTCCTTTATTCACTTCACTATTTTATTTTAACGAAGTACATTTTTTTTTTTAATTTAGTGGTGATACTGTCATAAATATGTCATTTACATGTGTACGTACCTTCCAGCAATGTTTTTTTTTCTTTTCTCATTCACGCTTTCTTTCATGTTCTTAGATTACTGCTGATCATCTTGCTTCTTATCTTCTGAAAAACCATTTGATGAAGATACATATTACATACCGATTTATATATAGCTTAATAATACACTATCCTTGACTGACAATCCTTCCTCTTTTACGTAATAGCTTTCTTTCTTCGGTTAATTCATCACATAACACAAGTCTTCAAGTTCTATCTCGTTACAAAAAATCATTATCTGGTTTCGTAATTTTTCTATTTAACCAAAGATCTTTCAATAAGACACAATTTAAGATTTTATTTTATTTTTAATGCCTTCTTTTCTTTCTGCTATTTCTCTACACACACGCATGTCGCCGCACATGTATTGTCTTCTGGAAAAAAAGACAACAAACATATGTACATTTGAGGTCCCTCGTTTAATTTCAATTTCAGCTGGTTAAGGATAGGATTTTTTTTTCTATTAACTTGTTGGTGCACTAAGGTGTTTATGATAATCGTTTACTCAAAAACGGATTTTCTTTAGAATAATATAAAATTAAAAACAAGAACGTGAGAAACGAACAAAACACCTACTTTTTTTTTTTTTCCTCTTTTTCATAACGAACGTGAAAAAAAATACTTTTTCACCTGAGGAGGAAAATTAAATTCATTTGTATTGCTACAAATATAATACTGGACTGTTAGTAATTACAAATTATTTTTAATTTTAATACACTTTTTTTTCTTAATTTACTTTAAATGAAAAGTGTCTCTTTATTTGCTAAATTTTAAAGTTTACATGAGCAAACCATTTTTAAAATTAAACTAAATACTCTTCTAAAAGACATTCGCTAACGACGAAATCATTGGAGTGGGCGGAAATAAACCACTTGGTACAAGTCAAAGACTGTGGTCCTTGCAGATATGTAGGCGACGTCACTAAAACCGGCGAAGAATTTCCAGCAGCTCACAGTAATCAACGTGGTTACCAGTTTTCGAAAGACAACTGCTAAATTCATCTAACAATGTCAGGGTTTCCTTAAAGGACTAATTTTTTTTTTTAAAAAGTATAGAAGTTCTTTTTATTTAAACCAAATAGCTCCGTAGGTTTGTTCGGGTGTTTTCCATTTTGCCGGCTTAGCTTTTTTGTATCCACAAACGAACCGCTTCATGTCTATATTTTTTTTCTCTTCCGGGTACCTCAATTGTTGCTTATTAAACTTTCTTTCCTTTTTTTTTTTTTTTTTATTGTAAAAAGCAAGTGTCGTCGTGAGTGAGATTGTGGAAAAAATGTGGCGAGGAAATATATTTTTTAAAATTTTCTGAACATTTGTAACTTTAAAAAGAAAATGCAATGTCGAGTTCTTTAATTTATTCACAAATTTTACCAGTTGTGAAAACTCGAAGGCTTTTTTTTTTTTTTTTTTTTTTCTTTTCATTTTTTTTCTTTAGCTAAAAGAAATAAAAATTGAGACTTTAGTTTTAATAAATTCCACTCTATTAAAAAATGCACCATTTCAACGATTTTACTTATTTTTTTTTAAATGATAATCAATCTTTTTTTTTTTTTTTTTTTTTTTTTTTTTTTTTTTTAATAAAATTGGGACTTTCTGATAAAGATGAATTAGATTAGAATTGTGGAACAGGACTGTAGTGTAGTGTACTAAAGTGTTGTACAAAAAACTAAAAAGATATTACTTAACTTAAATTACTATTTTTTAAAACAAAAAAAAAATAGAATGGTGAAAAAAAAATTAAATTCTCCAATTTTGGGTGTTGAAAAATAGTTCAATAGTTTGTATTTTTTTTTGATATCCGTATTTTTTCTTTCTCCCCAACTTTTTTTTTTCTTTGTTTCAATTTTTATTTTAACGGACATTTCAAATTTGCAAGAAAAAAACATTTAGGCAGCTAGAACGTATGACCCTTAAACTAAACAAGTTAAAAAAAAAAAAAAAAAGCTAAATAATGAATAGAAAAGTCAATGACGGTTGCATCAATCTTCCAAATGACAGTGTCTTTGAAGCCTAACATTCAAAATGACTTATTTTGTTAATTCGGACACTCGAAGAAGGTAGGAAATAGCAAGGGAGGGTCGACAAGAAGAGTGATAGTGGACCCTGGTCAGAATTTCCAAGTCTGTGATGGGGGGGGGGACACTTTTTTTTTTTTTTTTTTTTGTACAATGTTACATTTCCATTACCGTATGTCGAACATTGAAGTTCTGTTTGAGACGTATCAACATTGGTCCAGCCAGCTGGTAGAGATCGTGATGTCTGTCTGACAATGTTTTTATGGACCCTAGAGCACTTACACTTGCAATCTCATTGCTGGACATGGATATAGCGGTGGAATTGTGACAGAATGGAGAGAAAACAAAAAACAAAGATGAAGAAATTAGTCAGAATTAACCAAAAGTACAATAATGTACTTAATTAAAAACACCTGTTATTCGCCTAAAAAAAAAAAAAACAACAATTCAGAATTTTTTTCTAAAATTTATCTATTTTTTTTTCCAATTTTGAAAAATAGAATAAAAAAAAAAATGTTCAGATATTTTAAGGAACTCTGAGTAAATATTAAAATATTTCTTTTACTAGAATCTAAATTAAATTGTCAGATATATAAAAAGACTGAAATAGATCATCAATTTCATTTACAGAAAAGAATAACTTCAAAAACATTATGGTTAAAAATAGCATTTATCTGTTTACTAGCTCAAAAGTCCACACACTGACTTAAGTTAGTTCCCACATAAGACTGACTAGGCCTCCAGTCTAAAACTAAAGGGACCTCTGGTCCAGCTTAGAAAACAGTAATCATAATTTTGAAGAAATAACTTCCTCAAATTACTCCTTGGAAGTTTAAAACCTCACTTTAACTCTGGCTGTAAGACTGATTTGGGCTGAAATTCCAATTCAGTATGAAAATTGAGTTCTTCAAATCACAAACTCCATGGAATTTCAAAACCTCACTTCACGAAACCTCTCACTTTAACTCCTTCCTTGGCATTTGAAAAAATGAAATTGATTTCCTCAATTCACAAAGTTTTGGAGATATTTTAAATTGAATTTAAATTCACACTGTTACTAAACTCAATATAAATTAAAAACTTAACCACCTTTTTTTTTTTTTTTTTTCCTTCAGTTATTTTAAAATTTGAATTCTTAACAGTTCCTTCATCTGGACATAAATCCCAATGATGGATGTTCAAGCACCAGATGAAGAGTAGATTTTCAATCCTGGGATCATCTTTATTCCAAAAATGTATAATATGTCTACATAGAGCAAGCGTGGCCTGAATTAGAGATGGTTTCAAACACATGGATGGATGGACAGACAGAATTTGCCATTTAGTTAGATTTATAATTTTGAACATTACAAAGAAAGATGAAAATTTTATGAATTAGTGACAAACTGAAAGAATGTATCACAGAATATTGCCAATGAACCATAGTTTCTGTCAATGAAGCAGTCTCTATCTGTCCAAAGAATAATCAAAACTTTCACCCAATATGACCTTATGACAACTATTGCAAAAGAAAAAAAAATCTTATATTAGGAAAATGGTAATATTGCATTTAATATTCAAAACTGAATTTTTTTTTTTTTTTTTTTTTTTTTAAATTTAACAAAAACTATATTTAATCCCACAGGCACTTGTAATGAACCATTTGGGGCTAACAAATATCTTCCAGGACATTTCTTTGTCATGAATCTTCTAATTCTGAGGCCAGGGAGATCAGTGATTCTTAACAATTTGTACATGAAAATAGGGAAAATCGGTGAATACCCTGGAGAAACCGAGGGGATATTTTACTTGCATGGTGTTTCAAAAAAATATCCCATTCCCAATTAATTATAGACTATATACTATACACTGAAAGCAAACCTCCATTATCTTGTATGAAACTGAGAAAATTACTAAAATAATTATTAAATCAAACATTGCCCATGATTTTTAGCCAACATTTCTTATATTTTAGTGGATGCATGTGTGTTTAAGTGGATAACATGTTTTTTTTTTTTTTTTTTTTTTAAACAGTGTAAATTACATCTACAGTCCTGTGCATTCAAGTCTTAATAAAAATGTGCTCTCCAGTTGAAACCATACCAGACAGCAAATTTTCTTTATTAAGGCCCAAACATTACAGGCCAATTGATGTAACTCACACTTAATTTTAAAAGTGATGGTTGGGGGTCTATTCAAACACGTATCCACTAAAATATAACTTTAATGCAACAAGAAATAATGTTGGATTAAAAATCAAAATCCATTAATTTCTTTTTTTTCTTTTTTTTTTCTCTCTTCTCTCTTTTCTCTCTTTTCTCTCTCTCTCTCTCTCTCTCTCTCTCTCTCTCTCTCTCTCTCTCTCTCTCTCTCTCTCTCTCTCTCTCTCTCTCTCTCTCTCTCTCTCTCTCTCTCTCTCTCTCTCTCTCCCCCCCAGTTCATTTGTTTTAGCCCAAATACTTTTGACTATTACTCAAGAATTGAATGTTTAGTCTATTTATGAATATGTTTGGCCAATTTCAGCATTCTCCACTTTGCTGGAACCAATTTCAAGTCATTTACAGACTAAACACTCTATTCTTGATAATAACTGTAGTAACAGTTAAAAGTACTCTGATTTTTGTGTG